CTTTCCTTCCTTTCCTCTTTTTCTTTCCCTATTTTTCTCCTTTCTTCCATCTAGTATATATATATATATATATAGAGAGAGAGAGAGAGAGAGAGAGAGAGATCTCGTTCCATGAAAAGTCATATACATTCCAAATGCAGAACACTAAAGCAGTATTCTTTGGCAAAAATGCTATGATGGAAAACTAAATAAATGGCTCTTAGGCAAATCATTTGTTTTTATTCACCTAGACAGAATGTATAATATCCCCCATTAAACTCCTTCATTAATAGTTAACATTTAGGATAGTATACGATGTCAGAGTATTCACACAAATTTTCAAACCCCCAGGATATAATAAACCATTTCCTACTATCTGTTTGCAAACATGCAACAGCACACTTTCAGTTCTTAACTTAGTAAAAAGCATTTCACTGAAGTCTTCCATGTCATAAATTGTATTCAAGATACCTATGCCTGCAGTAGCAGTCCCAAAACAGCACATCAACAGAGAGGAAACAAAAGTTTGCTCTAGGCAATGTCAGGCCATTATATGCTAATCAAGGTCATCAGTTGAAACATTCACACCTAGCTCCAGTAGACAAGAACCCTTTTTCTCACCCTGGTCATTCCACAGATATATAAACCCCTTTTTCCTAGTTCCAACAGACCTCACTACCTCTGAGGATGCTTGCCATAGATGCAGGCGAAACGTCAGGAGAGAATGTCTCTAGACCATGGCCGTATAGCCTGAAAAAACCTACAACAACCCAGTCCCACAACAGCTCTTAAGCAGCAACAGTAGTTTGACTGAAGGGATGACACCAGCAGAGGATCTCTGAGACAACTTCATCAGACTTGCTGCCGGAATCGGCACACATTGTGGCAAATCCAGCACTGTCTGGTGGGAGCTGGAAGGAACCCGTCGCCCCATGCCCCACATCACACAGCTTTCCCCTAGCTCATCCCCCCGGGGGGGGGGGGGGGGGGGGGGGGGGAGCGTCAGCCACCCAGCTTCCCTCCGTTGATCTGTATAGTAACATGGGAAGCCTTCCGTGTTGCCGCCACCATAGCATACGTCAGAGGAAGACCTACAAGCCACTCTAAACACCTTTGCAGAAGCATACAAGAAGCTCGGCCTGTCATTGGACATTGAGAAAACCAAAGTGCTGTTCCAGCAGTCACCAGCCAATCCCTCTCCAATGCCAGAAATACAGCTTAACTGTGTAACATTAGAAAATGTTGACCATTTCCACTACTTTGCCAGCCACCTCTCAACAAAAGTCAACATTGACACTGAAATACAACACTGCCAGAGCTCTGTAAGTGCAGCATTTTTCCAAACGAAGCAGAGAGTGTTTGAGGGCCGGGACATCTGTAGGGATACCAAGGTGCTTGTTTATAAAGCTACTAGCTGTCCCCTGCCACGCGTTGCTGTGGCCCACATGGGGGTTCTGTTTGGGAGGTTTGGTCCAATTCTATTGTTGGTTGAGTTCAGAATGCTCTGTGATTCTAGGTGAAGTATAAATCCCAGTAATTACAACTCCCAAATGTCAAGATTCTATTTTCCCCAAACTCCACCAGTTTTCACATTTGGGCATATTGAGTATTTGTGTAGAGTTTGGACCAGATCCATCATTGTTTGAGTCCACAGTCATCTTTGGATGTAGGTGAACTACAACTCCAAAACCAAAGGACAGCGCCCACCAAACCCAGTATTTTCTGTTGGTCATAGGAGAACTGTGTGCCAAGTTTGGTTCAATTCCATCGTTGGTGGGGTTCAGAATGTGCTTTGATTGTAGTTGAACTATAAATCCCAGCAACTACAACTCCCAAATGACAAAATCAATTTTTTTTGAGTGAAGGACATACATTGGGTTGTTAGGTGTCTTGTGTCCAAATTTGGTGTCAATTCGTCCAGTGGTTTTTGAGTTCTGTTAATATCACAAACGAACATTACATTTTTATTTATATAGATTGTCCTCCCAACTCTGCTATATGCCTGCAAAACGTGAACTATCTACAGATGTGACATGCAACTCCTGGAATGATTCCATCCGAAAAATCCTGCAAATCTCTTGGGAAGACAGGAGGACAAATGTCAGTGCTGGAAGAAGCAAAGACCACCAGCATTGAAGCGATGGTCCTCCGACATCAACTCCGCTGGATCGGCCACTTTGTCCGAATGCCTGACTACCATCTCCCAAAGCAGTTGCTCTATTCCAAACTCAATGAATGTTGGAGGACAGGAAAAGAGATTTAAAGATGGGCTCAAAGCCAACCATAGAAATTGTGGCATTGCCACCAAATTTGGACACAATACACCTACTACCCCAAGGAATGACCATCACTAAAAACAATGGATTTTATCATTAGGGACTTGTAGTTGCTGGGATTTACAGTTCACCTACAATCAAAGAGCATTCTGAACCCCACCAACGATACAATTGAACCAGTCTTGGCACATAGGATTCCCACAACCAACAGAAAATTCTAGAAGGGTTTGGTGGGCATTGACCTTGAGTTTGGGAATTGTAGTTCACCTACATCCAGAGTGCACTGTGACTCAAACAATGAAGGATCTCAACCAAACTTGGCAGAATACTCCATATGCTGAAACGTGAATAATGGTGGTGTTTGGGAAAAATAGACCTTGACATGTGCAGTTGTAGTAACTGAAATTCATAGTTCACCAACAATCAAAGAACATTCTGAACCCCACCAATGATAGAATTGGGCCAAACCTCCCACACAGAACCCTCATGACCAACAGAAAATACTGTGTTTTCTGGTAGTCTTTGGCAACCCTTCTGACACCCCATCATGACCCCCGCCCCCCAAAGGGTTCCAACCCCCAGGTTGAGAAATGCTGCCTTAAGGCCATCCAGTCCAACTGCCTTCACCAGAGCAAGAAAATATAATCAGAGCCTTCCTGACAAAAAGCCATCCAGCCATAGATAAAGGTAAAGGTTTTCCCCTGACATTAAGTCCAGTCCTGTCCGACTCGGGGGGGGGGGGGGGGGGGGGGGGGCGTGGTGCTCATCTCAATTTCTAAACCAAAGAGCCGGCATTGTCCGTAGACACCTCCAAGGTCATGCGGCCAGCATGACTGCATGGAGCACTGTTACTTTCCTGCCAGAGCAGTACCTATTGATCTACTCATATTTGCATGTTTTCAAAGTGCTAGGTTGGCAGATATATATGATACACACACACACATATGTATATGACAGCTATAATATCATAGATTTGAAAGGGACCCCTAAAGAAGGACAATAATATGTTCCATAATCCAGCTATGTATGTATATGACAGCTATAATATCATAGATTTGAAAGGGACCCTAAAGAAGGACAATAATATATTCCATAATCCAGCTATATATGTATATGACAGCTATAATATCATAGATTTGAAAGGGACCCCTAAAGTAGGACAATAATATGGTCCATGATCCAGAATAGGCAAACCAGACAATCTCTACATCAACACTGACAAAGAAACAACAAGAAGTACTGTTGATCCACAAGCATAAAGAAATTACATATATTGGAAACCAACACTTTCTCATTACTTTATTTTCCAGATCACCAGACTGAGCCACAGCAACGCGTGGCAGGGGACGGCTAGTAGTGAATAAAGAATCATAGAATCATAGAGTGGGAAGAGACCTTGTGGGCCATCCAGTCCAACCCCCTGCCAAGAAGCGGGAAAATTGCATTCAAAGCACCCCTGACAGATGATGATGATGATGATGATGATGATAATCTTTATTTATACCATGCCACCATCTTCCCAACAGGGACTCGGGGCAGCTTACATGAGGCCAGGCATGTAGCCGGGGGGGGGGGGGCGTGTTCAGCCCCCCCCCCCCAATTTTCATGGTGGTTCGCGAAAAGGCCTTACTGGTGCATTATTTAAACTGTTATGTTTATTCATATCATGATCTGATCACCATACTCAATATATCCCATATGCATGGGGATATTAGGGTAATGATACAAAAGGTTTGCTAGGCTAGACCCTCTTTCACTCAGACTCAGCCCCCCCGAAACTCAGCCCCCCCCCAAAACCCCTGAAAAAAAATTCAGCCCCCCCCCCTCCAAAACGAAATCCTGGCTACGGGCCTGCATGAGGCCAAGCCCAAACAACAAATTATAATAAAATAAGATACAAGTTACAATGGAATAAACAACGTCACAATAAAACACAGAACATATGACTACAATAAACAAAATACAAAAAAGCAGTAAACCAAACGTAATGACAATGAAGGGATCTTCAAACTAAGGCCCGGGGGCCAGATAAGGGCCCTCCAAGGTCATTTTCCCGGCCCTCGCTCAAAGTCAACCGAAGCCTGAAATGACTTGAAAGCACACAACAACAACAACAATCCTATCTCATCAGCCAAAAGCAGGTCCACACTTCCCATTGAAATGCTAATAAGTTTATATTTGTTAAAATGGTTCTTCATTTTAATTATTGTGTTTTAAAGTTTTTTGCACTACAAATAAGAGGAATTAATTCATGTTTTTTTTTTTCAAATTCTAATCTGGCCCTCCAGCAGTTTGAGGGACTGTGACCTGGCCCTCTGTTTAAAAAGTTTGAGGACCCCTGAGCTAGACAATGATGGCTGTCTAGCCTCTTTTTTAAAAGGCTCCACCACAAGAATCCGGCTTGTTGTTGCTACGCAACCACACAAAGTGCTTCCCTATGTTCTTCTAGCTTGAGGTGAGCAGATTGTAGAGAACGAGGGATTTCCAAAACCGAAGAAGGAAAATAAGTGAAGAGCCAGTCCCATCACCTACATTGCCCATTTTGAGAAAGCTGGTCTGCAACTAACTATTCCTGCCCAGATGGGCAGGAAAAGACAGCTCTCAAGTTACTTCTGTCTTGTCGAGAAGTGGGTTCAGCAGCTTGGAGAAGGCACTTCCCTGAGAGCTAAATGGGGTTGTGGGGCTGGCAAGAGGCTTCAACTGAATCTTATGAAAACAGGATGATTTTCAGCTTGCATGCCTCACCTTCTCTTCTTCGGGTGCCAACAGCTGCAGGGAGGAGAAGAGAGGCTGCAAGGCAGCTCAAAGTGACAAGCCAATGCTGGGGCATTTCTGGAAACTCAGGAGGGCTCTGGTCCCCAGGTCCAAAAGGCACTCCAGCCCCAGTCTCTTCCAAGGAGGGTCTCGGGATCAAGGGTTTTGTGTCTCCTCTTCTTGTTTCAGGTGCTTTTTATCACCTCCCTCTGCCTGAATCACTCTAGACAGGAAGAAAAGAGCTTGCTTCCAGTCTGACTCACCTAGTGAATAATTAAATTTTTGAAAAATAGAGGGCCCAGCCCATGTACAGTGCAAGGAGACACTTAACAGTTTCTTCTTAGCCATTCAGAGGGATGGGTCTTGGCAGAGCCGAGCAGCAAACGCCCCTGGCAGCCAGCCAAGAAGCAGTGGGATAGGTGGCAGGAGGGTTGCAAGACAGATCTTAATCTGGGTCTTCAAAAATGTTATCAATGAGATAACCAGGAAGACTACGTGATTCAGAATTGTACCGACAAAAGTAAGACAGATACAGAAAAACACCATCCGACTGACGGGAGAATACAAGAAGACTACAAATGTTCCCTCTCCACCACCCTGCCCCCCCCCCATCTCCAGTTTTTTTTTTTTTGCCTCCCCCCCCCCACTTTTCTTCCCCTTCTCAACCTAACCTTAACCATAACCCAACTCCTTAGAATCATAGAGTTGGAAGAGACCTCATGGGCCATCCAGTCCAACCCCCTTCCAAGAAGCAGGAATATTGCATTCAAAGCACCCCTGATAGATGGCCATCCAGCCCCTGATTTGGATCCCTTGTATTGCCCGTTGTGTGTAGTCAGAAGATCTGGATGTCTAGGATGGAAGCTGTGAGAAAGTTGGAGTGGGGTGAACCAAAACTCCCTGGGCCACCAGGATGCACCTCGTTCTGCCTCTGAATTTTGGCTATCACCCTGGTGATGAGGGGGTAGAAAAGAATCATAGAATCAGAGTTGGAAGAGACTCTCATGGGCCATCCAGTCCAACCCCCTGCCAAGAAGCAGGAAATTGCATTCAAATCACCCCTGACAAATGGCCATCCAGCCTCTGCTTAAAAGCTTCCAAAGAAGGAGCCTCCACCACACTCGGGGCAGAGAGTTCCACTGCTGAACGGCTCTCACAGTCAGGAAGTTCTTCCTCATGTTCAGATGGAATCTCCTCTCTTGTAGTTTGAAGCCATTGTTCCGCGTCCTAGTCTTCAGGGCAGCAGAAAACAAGCTTGCTCCCTCCTCCCTGTGACTTCCTCTCACATATTTATACATGGCTATCATGTCTCCTCTCAGCCTTCTCTTCTTCAGGCTAAACATGCCCAGCTCCTTAAGCCGCTCCTCATAGGGCTTGTTCTCCAGACCCTTGATTTGAGTCGCCCTCCTCTGGACACATTCCAGCTTGTCAAGATCTCTCTTGAATTGTGGTGCCCAGAATTGGACACAATATTCCAGGTGTGGTCTAACCAAAGCGGAATAGAGGGGTAGCATTACTTCCCTAGATCTAGACACTATGCTCCTATTGATGCAGGCCAATCTATGGCAGTTTTTGCCGCCCCATCACATTGTTGGCTCATGTTTAACTTGTTGTCCATGAGGACTCCAAGATCTTTTTCACATACTGCTCTCGAGCCAGGCATTGTCCCCCATTCTGTATCTTTGCATTTCGTTTTTCTAAGTGGAGTATCTTGCATTTGTCACTGTTGAACTTCATTTTGTTAGTTTTGGCCCATCTCTGTAATCTGTCAAGATCATTTTGAATTCTGCTCCTGTCCTCTGGAGTATTGGCTATCCCTCCCAATTTGGTGTCGTCTGCAAACTTGATGATCATGCGTTCTAGCCCTTCATCTAAGTCATTAATAAAGATGTTGAATAGGACCGGGCCCAGGACGGAACCCTGCTTATGGCACTCCATTGGTGAGAATCACCCTCTGGGTTCGACAGCATAAAACAACATAAAACAACATAACAATAATAGCTAGCAACAACAATAACAGCAGACTAATTTTGGAGTGGGGGAGGAAGGACCACTACATGAACTAGTTAAAGGATAAGTGGTTTAGTAAGGTGGATAACAATGTATAACGGCATAGGAAATATCATGGAAACAGAGTAAATTAACAGGATCACTTAATATAGTATAGGACAACCTAGTTAAAGGACGCAGGTTCAAATCTGGGGAGCGGCGTGAGCTTCTGCTGTCAGCCCCAGCTTCTGCAGTTCAAAAACATGCAAATGTGAGTAGATCAATAGGTACCGCTCCAGTGGGAAGATAACAGCGCTCCATGCAGCCATGCTGGCCACATGACCTTGGAGGTGTCTACGGACAACGCTGGCTCTTCAGCTTAGAAATGGAGATGAGCACCACACCCCAGAGTCAAACACGACTGGACTTAACGTCAGGGGAAAACCTTTACCTACTTTGGGGCAGCAGTTCTCAAAGTGTGCTCCATGGAGCCCTTGCAGTTCTACAAAGCATACTGAGGGGCTCTGCACTTCCCTTCTCCTCCTCCTTTCCTCCCCTCCAAGCTTTCCCTTATCTTTTCAGCTCCTTCCCCTCTCTTGCCACTAAACGCCTTTTCCCCACCTTCCTTTCCCCACATAGCCTCCTCTTTTTCTCCTCATCCTTCGCTCCAAAAGACTTTTTTCTTCACCTTCCTTACTGCCCAGATTCTTTCCTTCTCGCATTCCTTGCTTCCAAAACCCTTTCCCTCTTCCACCACTCTGACAGTGCTTTTCCTGCCTGGCTGAAGGGAGTTGAACTGGATGGCCCCTGGGATTTCTATTATTATTATTATTATTATTAATTATTATTATTATTATTATTATTATTTGAAACACAACAAGATGAATCCACAGTAGACACTCTGCTGGCTGTTGAATTGGATCACACGTTGGACACTTCCCAAGTGTGTGATGTATCGGCGAATAATGCGTGCAGATGCCAGTAAGGTGGTCTTCTGCAGCTGGCAGATGGTAATTTTGTCAGCGCCGATTATGTTTAAGTGCAGGCCAAGGTCTTTAGGCACTGCACCCAGTGTGCCGATCACCACTGGGACCACCTTGACTGGCTTGTGCCAGAGTCTTTGCAGTTTGATCTTTAAATCCTCATATCGTGTCAGCTTTTGCAGTTGTTTTCTGCAATCCTGCTGTCACCTGGGACTGCAACATCGGCAATCCATACTTTGTTTTTTAACACAATCGTGAGATTAGGAGTATTGTGCTCCAAAACTCTGTCTGTCTGAATTTGGAAGTCCCAGAGTTCTTTCTCTGTAACTTTTTCCAGCTTTGATCTCACCAGTTAGTTGTCACAGGCAGATGGTATTCGTGGCATAAGTTCCAATGAATCATCTGAGCAACAGTGTTATGCCTCTGCTTGTAGTCTGTCTGCGCGATCTTCTTGCAGCAGCTGAGGATGTGATCTATTGTTTCATCTGCTTCCTTGCAGAATCTACACTTGGGATCTGTCGTCGACTTTTCAATTGTGTTATTACTACTACTACTACTACTACTACTACTACAAAGGCTGGGTGGCCAACTGTTGGGAGTGCTTTGATTGTGCTTTTCCTGCATGGCAGAAGGGGGGTGAACTAGATGGCTCCAGGATGGTTTTAAATGGTGTATTTTAATATTGAGTTTAATGTTTTTAATGTTTATTTATGCGTATATGAATTCTTGTCCCAGCATTGAATGTTTGCCATATATATGCTGTGCTCCACCCTGAGTCCCCTTCAGGGTGAGAAGGGCAGAAAATAAATGTTTTAAATAAATAAATAAATAATCCTCCACTGAAATACTGTTAAGTTTATGTTGGTTAAAATTGTTTTTACTTTTGCCCATGTCAAATACACACACACACACTTAATCTGTACTATAATAAAAATATAATATACTAGCTGTCCCCTGCCATGCGTTGCTGTGGTCCAGTCTGTTGATTTCTAATATATGTTGGTTTCTAATATATATAATTTCTTTCTGCTTGTGGATAAACAGTATTTCTTGCTGTTTCTTTGTCAGTGTTGATGTGGAGATTGTCTGATTTGCCTACTCTGGAATATGCAACATATAATTGTCCTTCAGGGGTCCCTTTCAAATCTATGATACTATATGTGTGTGTGTGTGAATCATATCTATCTATATCTATGGCTGGATGGCTGTTCATCAGGAGGGCTTTGATTACGTTTTCTTGCCCTGGTGAAGGGAGTTGGACTGGATGGCCTTGAGTATTTTCCGTTGGTCATGGGGGTTCTGTGTGGGAAGTTTGGCCCCATTCTGTCATGGGTGGGGTTCAGAACACTCTTTGATTATAGGTGAACTATAATTCCCAGTGACTACAACTCCCAAATGTCAAGGTCTATTTCTTCCAAACTCCCTCTATGTTCATATTTGGGCATATGGAATATTCGTGCCAAGTTTGGTCCAGATCCATCATTGTTTGAGTCTATGGTAGTCTCTGGATGTAGGTGAACTACAACTCCCAAACTCAAGGCCAATGCCCACCAAACACTTCCAGTATTTTATGTTGGTCAAGGGAGTCCTGTGTGCCAAGTTTGGTTCAATTCCATCGTTGGTGAGGTTCAGAATGCTCTTTGATTGTATTGTAAGTGAACTATAAATCCCAGCAACTACAACTCCCAAATGACAAAAAAAATTTTTTTGAGTGATGGTCACTCCTTGTGTTGTGAGACGTTTTGTTGCCAAATTTGGTGTGATTTCGTTCATTGGTTCTTTTGTTTTTAAGGTACTCATTATGCACAGAGCATTTTATATATATATATAGATAAACATTTCTTAGGATTCAATGAGAAACTTTTGCTTCAAAAAGGGCTCCATGGCTGAAAAAGTTTGGGTACTGTTCCATTATCTGGGTTGAGAGCACTAGGGAGACCCTAGAGGGTGGATAGTCCATTTTAGGGGGGAGGGGTGAGTTGAAGGAGTAAAACCCTTTCCCCCTGTTTTCCCGTTATTCCCTCCTCCTATGTCCCCCTTGTTTATGACATGTGAAGTGGGGAGTTGAATAACCTGCCAAATGGGGGAAATGCTTTTCCTCTTTCAGTTGTCCCCCCTCCTCCACAATAATGGAACAGTACTAAAATTTGAGAACTTCTACTTTGTGTGGGGGGTGGG